AAGGAACTGCTTTTCATTGCAGTTTGGTTGCATTTCTTTGAAGGAACCTGGAGGCTGTGATGAGGACTGTGAAGAATGTGCTGAGTAATTTCTGTGACGGAATGCCTAGGTGAGTAATAAATGGAAATAAGTGACCATTTGAGAAAGGTGTTTACGGGAGTTCCACTTTCACACACATGGCTCTCCCAGACAGAGACTGAGGGACAATCTCTTTAAATGTCCACACAGATTATGTTGTCAAAAACAATCACCTCAGTGGGGGTGGACTGGGAATTTGTGATCAGCCAGCTTTTCCGTTTCAGGGAGGTATTTATAGGGTTTTGATGTCACCCGAACCCACACACACAGTCAGTCAAACTATTAACAATAGGTGCAGGCACCATAGTCAGATCACCATGCAGGATCTGCGAGGTAAGGCAAAATTTTTCTCAACACTACGCTCAACAAAACTCTTCTCTCTCCCTCTTCGTCTCTCTCTCCATCCCTCTCTTTCCATCTGCCTCTCTCTCTTTCTAACTTCTTCCCTCCCTCTCTATTCATCACATTTTTTCTGTCTCTGTCTCTTGCTCCATCTGTACTCTCTCTCTCTAATTATCACGCCCTTCCCTCTTTCTCTTTTCCTGTCTCCTCCTTTCCTTCTCTCTCTACCTCCTTTCTCTCCATCCTTACCTCTCTCCCTTTCTTAATTCCCTCTCTCTCACCATCCCTCTCTTCCACTTACTTTCCTCTCTCTCCCCATCCATTTCTCTACTCCTCTCTCTCTTTCTTCATCTCCACCTCTCTCTTGCCCTCTTTTTCTCGCTCTCCATCCATCTGCTGCTCTAACTTTCTTCTTTCTCTCTCTCTTTCTTCTCTCCCTGCTTCTCTCTTTCTCTTCCTTTCTCTCTTCCATTCTCTCCCCTCTCCTTCTCTGTCTTTCTCCTCCCTGTTTTCCTCTTCCTCCCTTCCTTTTTCACTCCCTTTCTCTCTTCCTCTCTTTATGCCTCCCTTCTAACTGTCCCCATCATTCCCTCACTCAGTTCCTCACATATTCCTTCCCACTCGACCTTCCCACATTCATTCTCCCTTTCTCTCTCTTTTCACTGAGTACTTCAATTCATGACCATCTCTTGCTGCAGATTAGCTGCAGACGGAGGGAGGGAGTCATGCAGGGGGATGCAAAGAGACAGAAATAGAGAAGGAGAGGAGGGGGAGAGAAACAAAGGACACTGAGGGAGAGAAAGAGAGGTTGGGAGAGTTAGGGAGGGCAGAGCGAGAGGAGTGGGGTAAAGAGAGAAGGAGAATGGGGCAGAGGGAGAGGAACAAAGGGAGGGAGTGAGATGAAGAGTGAGTGAAAGAGTGAAAGAGTGAAAGAGCAAGAGAGAGAGGCTGGAGAGATGAAGGGAGAGATAGGGAGCCAGACGGAGACAGAGGGAGGAGAGAGCAAGAGACAGAGAGATGGATAGAGAGAGGCAGAGGTAGGGAGAGAGAGAGGAGGGAGAGAGAGACGAAGAGATGGAGGGAGAGAGAGAGAGAGACAGAGGGAACAAGATTTTTAAAGAAAGGGAGAAACAGAAGGAATGGCAAAGAGAGGAAATGACAGAGGGAGAGAAAAGTGTGGATGCAAGAAAGAGGGAGTGAGATGGAGGAAGAGAAGGCAGAGAGAGAGGAAGTGGAATGACACAAAAGTAAAGGAGGGAAGGAAGACAGGTATAGAGAGAAGGAGAGAATGGATAGAGTGGAGTGCAGAGAGTGGAATCAGATGGGATTGACAGGAAGAAGAGGATGAGGGACGGAAGGATGTCAGAAAGAGAGGTTACAAACAAGTAAAGGATGAATGTGAAAAAGAACTGAAGAAATAATGGGAGGAAGAAAAGATGGAGAGAAGGGGAGAGAAAAGGGGAATGGATGATATGAGAAAGTAAGGAAGGAAGAAGTGAAACAGAGAAAAAAAACATTGAAAATTGGTGAGAAAAAGAGAAAATAATTCAGTCATGGAAAAGAAAATGTCAATGAAGAGAGAAGAAAGGAAAACAGAAAGAAAGTAAAGGAAAAAGAGACACAAATAAATGCCTACTCCATCAGCACTGAGTCACTGACTGTGTGACACTCCCTTAGCACTGACCCTCTGACAGTGTAGCATTACCTTGGCAACGACCCTCTGACAGTTACTGTTCCCTCAATACTGATCGTCTGACTGTGTGACACTCCCACAGCACTGACCCTCTGACAATGCACCGCTCCCTCAGCAGTGACCCTCCAACAATGCGGCTCTCCCTCAGAGCTGAACTTCCGACAGTGCGGCACACCCTCAGCACTGACCCTCCAACAGTGAAGAGCTCCCTCAGTGTGCACAGTCTAACAATTTGGAGCTCCCTCAGTGCTGACCCTCTGACAGTGTGGAGCTCCCTCAGCCCTGGCTCTCCAACACCGTGGCATTTCCTCAGCACTGACCCGCCGACAGTGCGGCGACCCTCAGCACTGACCCTCTGACATTGTGACACACCCTCATCACTGACCCTCTAATGGTAGTGGTGTTGTGGCTGGAGAATTTACAGAAATCAGAAAGGCTGTAGGCAAACTGGAGCATGTTACTGAGGTAGAGAGGTGTGTAAGGCCTGAAACAGTCTACTGACATTGGATAGGGACTAGGTGCCAGGGGTAATTTCGTAGATAGGGAGATGTGTAGGCGCCAGAGGAGGTTATACAGAAATGGAGGCATCTAGGGGCTGCAGGATTTTACAGAGATAGGGAGGTGTGGGAGGCTGGACAAGCCAACAGGAATTTGGAGGGTGCAGGAGCTAGTGGAGGTTACAGGAGTTTGGAGGGTGTAGGGGATGAAGGAGATTACAGAGAAAGGGAGGAGGTGTAGGGGCTAGAGGAGTTTACAGGGATAGGGAGGGGTGTAGGGGCTGGGGGAGGTTACAGAGACACAGCGGAGTGTAGAGGCTGGAGAAGGTTACAGAGCTAGGGAAAAGTCTGGGGGCTGGAGGAGGTTACAGAGATAAGGAGAGGGTGAAGGGACTGAAGGAGGTGACAGAGGTAAGGATGGGGTGTAGGGCTGGAGGGGGTTAGAGGGTTAGGGAGGGAGGGGATTAGGTTCCTGATCCATGGTGGATAATCCAGCCTGAACTGTCTCTTTTTCCCTCTCCACCCTGCCCCACCCCGCTCCCTTTTCCTACAGGGATTCTGAGCCTTCTCCTGATCCAGCTGCTGGGTCACTCCCAGGGGGCGCCCGTTGCTGTGCCCACATTAATCGGGCAGACCCATGACCTGTTGCTCCTCCTGCAGGAGAAAGCCTCCTCTCTGCTGAGCACCTACGTGAGTATCACCACAAGTGGGCAGTACCCTTTGGACTGGCATCGGGTGGCGGGAGGGCGGGTAGTGATCACGAGTTGGGCGGTGGGCGGAAATATTTGGGCCCTCACCAACTGTCCTTGGAAAACACCCTCTAAGGGAACTTTGAGAATCTGACCCTAAGGCCCATCATGTCTGTGTTGACCATGATGCCCATTCTAAACTAATTAGGGATGGGCAATAAATGCTGGCCTCACCTGTGATGCCTTTATCCAATGAATGAATTTGAAAAAAAAATCCCATCTGCCTGCATGTGCTTCATATCCCTCTATCCCCAATGTGTTCATGTGTCTGTCTAAATGCCTCTTAAACATTGCTATCGTGTCTGCTTCTCTCACCTCTCCTGCAAGCACATTCCAGGCACCTGACACCGTCTGTGTAAAATACTTTACTCGCACATTTCCTTTCAACTTGCCCCACTCACCTTAAACCAATGCTCCAAGTTTTTGACGTTACCAGCCTGGGAAGAAGACTCTCACTACACACCCTGTCCATGCCCCTCATAATTTTATATACTTCTATCAGGTCGCTGCTCAGCCTCTGGCACTCTGGAGAATCATCCAAGTTTGTCAAATCTCTCCTTTTATCTAATACACTCCAGTCCAGGCAGCATCCTTGTAAACCTCTTTTGCACTCTCTCCAAATTCTCCACATCCTTCTTATGGTGCGGTGACCAGAACTGCATATAACACTTTAAATGTGGTCAAACTAAAGTCTTATACCGCTGCAACAAGACTTGACAACTATTATATGCAATGCCCTAGCCAATGGAGGAATATATGCTCTACGCTTTCTTTATCACCTTATCCAAAAGTGTTGCCGTTTGCATTTGGATGCAGACTTGCACACCAAGATCCCTCTGTAGATCAGTGTTCCTGAGGGTTCTGCCATTTACTGTGTACTTTCCCTCTTGCATTTAGCCTGCCAATTACATCACCTCACTCTTGTCTGGATTAAACTCCAGCTGCCATTTCTCTGCCCAACCTTCCAATCAATCTATATCCTGCTGTATCCTTTGACAACCTTCCTCACTGTCCACAACACATTTCAACAATTGTCATGTCTTCTGCAAACTTACTGATCAGACCACGGACATTTTCATCCAAATCATTTTGATAGCTATTACAAACAACAAAATTCCCAGCACTGGTCCCTACAGAACACCATGGGTCACAGATCCCAGTCAGAAAAAAAAGAACCCTCCAAAGTTACCCTCTGTGTCATAATTCCTGATTTTTTTGTCTGTCTCCACCCCCTCAATGGATCACAGTGATGGGCCTCCCATTCTCTGAGCCCAGTTTCACCCTTCCGGACGTGTCAGGATTTGACCCGATGTTTCCAGACCCTGGGAGATCCCCACCTCTTCTCAGTGTCCAAGGAAAGCAGTGGTCAAGGTGGGTCAGGAGAGTGGAGCTGAAGGAGGGAGAGTGTCCAGCTTCTGGAAGAGCTTACAGAGATAAGGAGGGATGTAGGAGCTGGAGGAGATTTCAGAGCTTGGGAAGGACGTAGGAGTTGGAGGAGGTAACAGGGAGGGGGTTTCGGGATTGATCTCCTGTATTCATTTGAACATTCCATGGGGTCTGTGGTGAATTTGGTGTTTTCCCTGACGCCTCTCTCTCTCTCTGTCTCTCTCCACCCCTCCATCCACCCAGCAGCTCACAGTGATGGGCCTCCCATTCTCTGAGCCAGATTTCACCCTCCCGGATGTGTTCCTCCTTGGGCTGCCCTCACCCTCCATTGGATACCTGGCCTGGCGCAGGCTGACGGACGGGGAACGCCTTTCGGAAACCTACCGGGTCTACAACCTGCAGCTGGAGTACTTGCAACTGGTGCTGGATGACCTCCGGGCCTTGGACCTTGGGCAGGGACCCGGGCAGCTGTCAGAGCAGCTCACCTTCACCCAGGCCCAACTCCAGGGCTTCGTGACCAACCTGCGCTCCCTGCTGGAGAGCCTGGCTCAGCCCCTGCCCACTGTCGGCAAGACCCTGGACTCTGAGGCCCACAGGCCCTCTGACTTTGAAAGGAAACTCCGGGGCTATCTCGTTTGCCGGGAGTATGTGCACTGGATCGACCGTACACTGAGGGATTTCACACTCCTCTTGGACAAGTTCCCGGCCTGACTGAGAGTGGGGGGTGACAGAGCTCCCTCCCTTCCACTCCCCCTCCCCGACACAGGATGCTGGCTGTAGGTGAGGGGTGGGGTTCGAATGAAGTCTTGATTCCTCTTGTCGCTCAATGTTCTCACTGTAGCGTGCCACCTAGTGGCTAGCATTTGCACTACCTTCATGACAGTTGACATAGAGATTTACAGTTGCTGACTTTAACAGGTAGAATTGACCAAATATAATGTGGCAATTGCACTACTCTGCCACAGAAATTGCACAAAGAATTAACAGATTTCCCTCCTTGGACATTGCCTACTCATAAGCTTTCTGCGCGTTGTCAGCACCCCTCTATGTCTGCGTTTCCAGTGGCGACGCTGGGTAGAAATCCATCAAACTGCAATCCCGCCCTATGACCATCTGGTGGCGGTGCCGAGCGTGACATATTTACATAGCAAATCCTTGTTAGAAATGATTGGCCTACAATTAGGGCTGTAAATGCTGACAGGGTTAAAACATTTCTACATTGGAGACACTGAGAATATATTTGCAATATTTAAATAGCTCTGTTTCTATAGGTGTTTAAATTATGGTTATTTTTATGAAGGTCTTGTCCATTATATATTTTCAGAGTAATTTATTCTAAATTAAGCTCGCCTTTAAGTTGTAAATTGGTATTGTGAAGGGTAATTATATGTTACTTAGACAGAGACTTATAGAAGTGTCAATAAAAATGTATTTCTAACACAGCTGGGTGGTATCTGTGCGAAACTTGTGAATTATGAAGGTAAAGATATGTACACACACTCATGCTCTCTTTCACGCACACACATTGATTCTCACACTCACTCTTACCTTTCCTGAGATAAGGATCCAAATGTGCACACTGCACTCCATTTCAGTCAAACCAAGCTCCAATGCAATTGAAACACGACCCCAGTGCTCCTGTGCTCAAGACATCTTATGGTAAAGGCTAACATTCCATTGGCCTTCCCAATAACTTGCTGTATCCTAGGGGTTACCTTCAGTAACTTATTGACAAAGGGAGGCAATGACCCACTGGTATTATCACTCGATTATTCATCAAGAAAGCCTGGTCAAATTCTGGGGACCTGGGTTTGAACCTCGCTATGGCAAATAGTGGAATGTGAACTCAATAAAAATCAATATTCAAACAAAGAGAAGAGTCTAGGAGATACCAGTCAGTGAACAGATATTTCTCTGGGTGAGAAAGGGCCCTGAGAGAGACTAAATAAAAACCAAAAGAACTGTGGATACTGTAAATCGAGAACAAAAACAAAGTTGCTGGAAAAGCTCAGCAGGTCTGGCAGCATCTGTGAAGGAGAAAACAGAGTTAACGTTTCATGTCTGGTGACTGAAAGGTTGTGTACAGTGTACAGACATCTCCCTGATAGAGAGAGAGGGAGGGAACTGAGAGACACCAGTCAGTGTAAGATATCTCCTCGATAAAGAGAGGGGAATGAGACACTAGTCTGTTTAAGACAGAAGAGACAGTGAGATACCAGTCATTGTAAAAAAAAAGGGGGGACTGAGAGACACCTGTCAGCCTACAGAGATTTCCCTGAATGAGAAAGGGCCCTGAGAGAGACCAGTCGGTGTACAGCTATCTCCCTGACAGTGAGAGAGAGAGAGAGAGAGAGAGAGAGAGGACTGAGAGATATTAGTCAGCATGCAGATATATCCCTGAGAGAGAGGAGACTAAGGAAGACCAGTAAACAAACAGATATTGCCCTGAGAGAGAGAGGCGACCGAGAGACAGCAGTCAGTGTACAGATAAATTCTTGAGAGACAGAGAGAGAGAGAGAAAGTTGATTGAGAGACACCAGAAAGTTTACAGATATCTCCCTGAGAGAGAGGGGATGGAGAGTCAGCAGTCACTGTAAGATATCTCCCTGTTAGAGAGAGGGAACAGAGGTATTAGTCAGTTTGAGAGAGAGAGGGGACTGAGAGACAGCAGTCAGTATACAGATATCTCCCTGAAAGAGAGAGGGAAGGGGGGAACTGAGAGACATCAGTCAGTGTACAGATCTCTCCCTGAGATACTGAGAGATGGGATTGAGCCACAGCAGTTAGTGCACAGGTGTCTTCCTGGGAGTGAGGGGACTGAGAAACAGCAGTCTGTGTACAGATATCTTCCTGAGAGAGGAGGCTGAGAGATACCTGTCTGTGCACAGATAGAGAGTGAGAGACATAGGAGACACAGCGAGGAAACGAGTGAGAATGGAAAGTCAGAGAGGCAGAGAGAGAGCTCGAAGACTGAAAGAAAAGAGAGACAAAAGAGAAGAAAAAGAAAGTGAGTGGCAAAATAAAGCAGAAAGAGAAGGGAAGGCAAAGGTAAAGAGAGAGACAGAGAAAGTGAGAGAGACAGAAGACAGAGAAAAGGGCAAGGAAGAGACAGAATAGAGAGAGAAGGGAGCGAAAGGCATAGCGAGATCTAGGAGGCAGAGTGAAAAGAGTGGAGAAGAGCAAGGAAGGAACGAGAAGAAAGAGAAAGAAAGGGAGAGACAGAAAGATGGAGAGAAATCGAACTGTAGATAGCTTCTGAGCGTCGGTGGTGGGGGGAGTGGATGCTTGTGAGTGTGGTGTCAAAGTTGAGATCAAAGGTTACGGGGAGAGGGAGAAGAATACAGATGGAAAGCATATCAATTTTGAACAAATACTGCAGGAGACTTATTGGGTCAAATGGCCTAACTTTGTTCCTTTCGTGATGATATGGTGGAACATTCGGATGTGTGTGTCCCTGCACAAGGAATGTGTGGCTCTGAGAAAACAGAGCAGATGTTCAGCCATGTGCTGTCAATATTCTTTCATCCATTTACATAGAATTTACATTAGGCCTGAATGGTTTATGTTGTTTACGCTCCTCCCTTTGCATGTTGTGGTACAAACGATCGTATGCTTATGGTTGGGGTGGAGTGCTGTAAACAATCTTCCTTCTTAATACTGAGTCAAAGGGTCTATCTAATTAGCAGTGTTGGATGGTTTACCACTGTTGAGTTTAATGAGTGAAAGAATTTGTTTTATACAACAAAATGTAGCAAGAGGTGATATATCTGCCTGAATCAGGACCTTGTGCAAGAGTGCTTCATCTCCACTCAATACTGAGTGATGTTACCAGCTTGGGTGGAGTTGAATACAATCTATGCAATCTCTAATATTAACTCTTTCACAGCCATTACTTTATACAAAACCTCCCATTCTTTTTCTTTCCTTACCAGCGTAATCCTGTATACCTTTCTTCCGAACGTATTCACCTAGCTTCTCCTCAAATGTGTCACTGCTATTCACCTTAACCACTCCTTCTGGTGCTGAGTACTGCTTTAGAGCCATTCTCTGGGTAAAGGTATTTCTCTTAAAATTCTTCATTCAATCTGCTGATGGTTGTCGTATATGCACAAGCCCCCTAGTTTTGCTCCAAATTGTCAAAGACCCAAAGAATTCTTGCTCCTTAATTCCCACTCGATGGGCACAAAGGAAGTAAAAATGTTGGCATTTATTTCAGCTGGGAGCTTGACTGCACTGAAGCTCGAAGCCTAAATTGTATTAAATTTCAATATGTTTCTGATTATCTAAGTGAGCTGAGATTGGAAAGAAAATTTTAATTCTGGCTCAGAAGTTGGATTTATGTCCACTTTACTTTGCAGTTTATTTTCTTCTGTTTGTGAAGATCGACCAGAAGCTACTCCTTCACTTCAGCGCGAATTTAGTCCTTAGTTTCCTTCACTTCATGAGAATGGGTAGCTGTGTGTTTTTCTCCAGAGCACTCCTGATTTTTATTTTTTGTGAATTAAAGCAGGAGGATGTTCATGTGAAATGTAGATACCAGCATATATTAGTTTCTGTGCTTAACTTCAATGTAACTCCTTCATTGATTTGCCCAACTTGGCAAACAATGCTTCCCCCAGTACCTCACCCATTGTGAATGTGATGCCCAAGTTCAATGGAATCTTCCCACCCATCCCGCTCCACCCTGACATCAGATTTACATTTGGTCCCTCGGGACTCAAAGCTGGGATTTCTTGACTTCGATGCCACACCACATCGTGTAATTGCTTTCTGAGCCACTGGGAGAAGGAGACAGCATTGCTGTTTGAAGGGTGAAATTTTTGGCTTTAATAAATTATTGATGACAGCAAAATGTTCAAAACATTACACAAATACTTCTTTGGAAAAGTAAGCTTTTAATTTTATGCAGAATTGCAGTTCACTGTGATTGCTTTGAATTCAAAAAGATTGAAAACTGGCCAGCAAATGAGGATTCTTCACATGAACCATTCAGATAAAGCAAGCAGAAAATATCTAAGCAAACAAGCCAATGTTCAGCGAGATTTGATTTCAGCGCAACTTCTGATTTGAATTTAAATGATTTATTTCTGGTGTAATGAGCCCTGATGCAGTCTGTTATTAAGTGTAAATACTTAAGCTTTAAAATAACTGATGAGGATATTAATGTACAAATGCTCAACATGTTGAGAAATGGATAGGAGCAGGCAATTTAACACCTGAAGCCAGTTCTGCGATTGAACTAGCACCTAGTTAAGTTCATCAAAATAACACCTACCAGCTGTAAAACCTGTTACAAGAATACCTTTTCCCCATGGCCATGTCAGGACAATCCCCTGAAGACTGCAAAATGCATCTGTTCAAGTAGAGACACTCTCCCTCCTGCATCCAGCTGTGACAACTCTGAAAGGGAAAACACTGTTTGCTTTGTATGTCTGTGGTAGCTATTGACCTGAATGGAAGTCTGTCAGGTGATCTCAAAACTGACTTTCTTTGCCTTCTTCGCCATGGCAACATCAAATATTAAATTCACATCAATGCAGAAATGGTATTCATGACCCCAGATCTCTTTGGTTCCAGAACTTAATGGAATGTTTACAACCTGATACCTTTGACACCTTTGTGGGATTTTGAGAGTTCACTTACTGTGAACTCAGCTGGGGCCAATGTAAATACCTAGCCTGCACTTCTCAGTAAAACAATCTGAGCCTTCT